ATTTCACATTATTAGATGCATCATCTGCTTTTCTTCAGTTGCCTTTGAATTATGAAAGTTCAATTTTATGTACTTTTACTACACCTTTTTTTTGTTATAGATATCTGATATTACCATATGGCCTTACCTGTGCACCTGAAATTTTTCAAAAATATATGTCTGAACTTTTAGATAGTGTATCAGGAACAATAACATATTTTATTTAGTTTGTTACAAAATTCAACAGAGTGGCTTAACTTTGAATTTAGGAAAATCTAAATTTTGTCAAACAAAAGTAAAATTTTTAGGTCATCAGATTAGTAATATTGGCATTTCACCTGATCATGATAAAACAGAAGCTATTACAAAAATGACACCACCAAGTAATCGAAAAGAATTACAACGTTTTTTGGGAACCATAGTATATATTGCAAAATTTATACCAAACCTGTTAGAACACACTAGTCCCCTAAGATGTTTACTTTCTAGTAAAAATGAGTGGCATTGGGGCCATAATGAACAGGCATGTTTTGATAAACTAAAGAATCTTGTGGCGTCAGCCACTACTTTGCGTTATTTTAACATTGACAAAAAGACCATACTCTCTGTTGATGCCAGCCCATATGGTTTGGGGGCCATGGTCTCGCAAGATGGGTTTCCAATTGAATTTGCATCAGTGTCATTAACTCCAACCCAAAGGAGGTATAACCACATTGAAAAGGAGCTTCTTGGTATAGTGTATGGATGTGAAAGATTTTCATTATATCTTTATGGCATAGATTTTGAAATAGAGACAGACCACAGACCTCTTTTAGGTTTGTTAAAAAAAACCTTTAGATGAAATGTCACCTAGGATCCAAAGACTGGCAATGCAATTAATGAGATATAAATTTTCACTCAAATATGTTCCTGGTAAAAATCTCAAAGTTCCTGACAATTTAAGTAGAGATCCTTTGAATAAAACCATAAATACTAATTTTATAGATGATGAAAATAATTTAAAAGTGTATTCTATTGTAGCAACATCAAAAGGAAATAAAAAAAAGATTGCAAAATGCAATTGATACTGACCCATCTTTACAAAAAGTTAAATATTATGTTTTAAATGGGTGGCCTGAGCATAAAAGCTCTCTACCTTCTGAAAAAATTCTGGTCTGATAGACATGATATATATTTATTAAAGAATGTATTGTTTTATAAAAAAAGGTTAATTATTCCTGAATAATTGAAGGGTGAATTTCTTGATGTTATACATCAGTCTCATCAGGGTGTAGTATCATGTAAGAAGAAGGCCCAAGAAGCAATTTATTATCCGGGATTGATGAAGGATATGGAAAACATTGTTCTGAACTGTCTGACTTATTAAATGAGCTATAAGAGCAACAGTAGGGAGCTATTAAAATAACATGATATATCTGAAATACCTTGGCTAAAAATTGGTATTGATTCCATGACAGTAGCCTCACAAGATTTTTTAGTGGTGGTTGATTATTTCTCGAAGTTTGCAATTGTTAATAAACTAATGAACAAAACGGCTAGCAGTGTTGTAACACAATTAAAAAATATGTTTGCTATTAATGGACTGCCTTGTGAAATATTTTCTGATAATGGTCCTCCATTCAGCTCTCATGAATTTTTAAATTTTGTCCGTATGTATAATATTGAAGTAACAACATCAAATCCACAATACCCTCGTAGCAATGGCATGGTGGAAAGAACAATACAAACAATAAGAAACTTGTTTTTAAAATCTGTACAAACTAAGAAAGATCCATTTCTAGCTGTATTAGATTATAATACAACTCCAAAACAAAATTTACCTGCTCCTTGTGTGTTGCTAACTGGAAGAAATTTCAGAACCAACTTACCAGTCAGTATGGAATTCCTAAAGCCCAGACATTCTAATAAAAAATATTTTACACAATTGAGAGAAAATCAAAGAAAACAAAAACACTATTATGACAAAGGAACAAATAGGTTATCAGAATTAAAATCAGGACAACAAATTTTACTTCAAGAAAAGAAAAGGAAATGGAACCCTGGAGTGGTTGTGGCAAAGAAAGGATCAAGGGATTATGTGGTTAAAGTAAATGATACTGATTATAGACGTAATAGACACTATCTTACACCTGTACGGTCAGAAGCACAGCAACATGCTTCTGCAAATTGTGAGCAAGCATATCTGAAAGCTAGTCATGAAAATGATATTGTGACTACTGGAAGGACAAGTATGGGAAATATGAGAACAGTTCTTTGTTCAGATGTACCTGATGATACAAGAGACTGTAAAACAAATAAGACTATCAAAGATATTGATGTACCTTCAACATCTAATAGAACATCACCCATCAATGACATTAATGTACCTTCTACATCATACAATACTTCACCTGGTTTGAAAACCTCCAGAAGTGGTAGAGTCATTCGCCCTCCTCATAGATTTACCCATTGATATATTTGTCAATTATTGTTATTTATGTACTTATGATATATTGTGTGAATTAATTTTTGTTTATTTTGTTTTTATTAAAGGGGACGTGTTATGTATGGTTTTCGTGTACAGATATACTTGGCAACGTTGTACTTGGCTCACAAGTGACAGCGGTGACATGACAACCACACATGACAATAAACTTAGGTTATGGACTACATGTGAACTGAAATAATGTTAATTTATATATCCTTATAAAGCTTAATAAATAAATAAAACCTATCGTAAGTAGCTTTATGTTATGTCCAACAGTCCTAAAGAGGAATACATTACAGTTTATTGCCATTTAATACACTCATATAATAATATAAGTAATACAGTTATATTGGAATATTGTTAATAATATAAGTAATATATGTATGTATATATATACATATGTATGTATAATTTTTGTTTTTTGATGAAAAAATTTCTTCGTTTCTATTCTCCCCTATCCATTTCTTTCGGCCTATTGTTTTATCTATCTATTTATGTCTATAATGTTTTTATTTATGTATGTGTATGTTATGATGTTTTGTCTTTTACCATCTTTATAATTACTATTTAACTGGGAATAAGCCACAATTAAAGATAAAAATACGTTTATTGACGTTTCAATTTCCACTTCGGAAATCGTTCTCAAAATACAAACAGTAAATTAAACAAATTTTGTTTTTTGTTACATAGTGAAAAATTCTTCTAATAATTTAATTTTATCTGACTCATTTATATTGACAATTCAGACATACATTATGCATTTTAAAGTAGACGACTTTAAAATGATATTGCCAATATTGTTGAGTTGCGCTCCTGGGACGACTTTACTTATAAGATAGTTCATTCGATTACATGAAATCAACTTTAACTTAAGAATATCCGTCAGAAAAACTTCATAGCATGTAATTTGTCTTTAAAAAGACAAACACATGACATGATGACAGTAAAATTCTCCGGTTAGTGATTCCATAGTAAATTATGAGGGAAAAACCAGGAAAAAAACCTCATAATACTATCCCGACATTGTAAGTATTTGTTCGTGAATTTAGTTTACCTTCAACAAACATCAAAATTCTGATTTTATATGTTACGTTATTTAAAAAGCATAAATGATTTATTTTTTATGGATTTTTTCCCTCATAATTTACTATGGAATCACTAACAGAAAAATTTTACTTTTTAAAGACGAATTACATGCTATGATTTTTTTTCTGACGGATATTCTCAAGATTAAATTCGGGATTAAATTTTAAAACATTGTAAGTAACTACCAGTTTTTCGTCAAGTCGAATACATTTCCTCATTTTTGAATAAATACCACGTATGCCATCTTTAATGTATTTCAAGAGCTCAAAAAGTGATGATTTTAAAATGTGAAAATATGGAAAAAAATTTACTTCACGTATATACCGTATAATAACATATACATTGTATAACATGAATTTTCCGACTCCTTCTCACTCTGCTTTTCTTTAATAAAAGAACAAGAAGAAGCAATGACTCGTTTGATATCCTATTCTTAACTAAACAATATTAACTATTCACTACTAAACGCATTAATTTTTGCTGGTGGCAATTATCGGCCACCAGTTGCCCATAATTGTTTGTGCTTTAATTTGGTGGCGCCACTAGTTGCACCGCCAGTTGCGTCAACAGTTGCCTAGTATAATAGCGGCCTATATTTCAATTTTTCACAGAGATCTTGTCGTATCTTGTTGTTTCAGAAAACCGTTCTTAGTAAATTTTATCTAATAATGCATTTTTAGAAAACTGTGAAAAATTAATCATATTCAACTCAAATTTCCATATCAAGTATATGTCAAATATAAGGCCATAGTGATATAAAATATAGAGCAATCCAGTTAAAATTTCAAAGCAATTTGCGTTTTGACTTACTCTGTATTCGATTTACTGAATGTTATCAAAATTAATCATTTTTAAAAATTGTTTACTATTATCATAAAACTGTGGCTGAAATAGGTTGTAGCTTTTGTAACACTTTTCAGTTATACAGGGTGTTGAATTTGTTTAATTGAAATTTAGTTATAACTTTTTAAAAAACACTAATAAAAAGAACTTTATATTCTTGTAATGACGAAGTGAAGCGGATATTAATTAAAAATAATACAGGATATTTCGTTAAAAAACACACATGTTCTTTGATATGGCACAGTATTATGTAAGACCCTGTATACTTGCAACTAATTTTAAAATGTGAAGCTTACAGCTGCATCCTATTTTTGTAGGAAACTTTTTTTGGTTTCTCCTATAATAACGAAAATACCGGACTTTATCACAAAAGTTGATCACCCTGTATATTTAATTTGAACTCGAAGTAAAAACTTCCGGTTTCATGATTTTTCCTTACATAGCTTTTCGTGCAAATTCACTTCAATACAAATCTGTCGTAAGTTTTCGGTAGGTACAGTTCCAGATGGACAGATACCGTTCAAAATTAATCATAGTTTTTCTAAATTTTTATTTTACTGCAATATAATAGACATATTCGTTGCAAATGCGTTAGCCAAAAAATCTAATAAATTCAAAAACGTACCTTACTAGTTGGTGGAGGCCCTCGAGCATGTAAGATTCCACATCTATTGGGCATTTCATCTTCATTTGGATAGTCACAATGATTGTAGTAGTCGACGGAATGTACTATTCTAAGATATAGAATAATCCGATCCAAAACAGTTATCAAGTTTTCATCTCTTTCAACTACAGATGTAGCATCTTGGGCATCTGTAGTAGGATCTAAACCTAGAAGTTCCTCCTCTTCAGCGCTGGCTTCTTCTATTAAGTAATCCGTTATATTGTGCAATACTGGATTATTGGAGAGTAGTCCAAAAGTCTGAAATAAAAAATAATTATAAATAAAGCTCGAAATGTTTTTAATGCGAATGTATGATTAAAATATTTTACAGAGTTTCTTTATAGGACAGTGCCGATAATTTTTGAGACCAAAAAATAGTAACAGGATGGAAAGAATTATATACCGAAGAAGATATATAACACAAATTAAAAAAAAAATTAGAATTGCTGCAGACAGAGTAAAATGTACCGTAATAATCACCAATGACCTTAAAGGATGAGGCACACCACATGAGAGCAATCTCCTAAGATAAGCTGACCCCTTTCCTTTCAGTTTTTTCCTTACACAAAGTAGGCATACAAGCAGTATGATAATGATCTTTTACCGCGACTAAATCAGGCACATTTCTCAAACGAGTTAAAATATTTTTATCGAAACCATTTAACGTGTTTTATTTTTGAATATGCTGTAATGTATTACCTCTTTTATCATTATTTTGATAAGATCGATTTTTTTTTAAATATTACCGAAAAACCTACCGCAGCCCAGCCACACTTAGCCACCGCAACCCACTTGCTTAACATCTGTCTTATTGTGGATTGAACAAATAGATTTATCCATACTGGTAATCTAAAAATACATAGTTGCAGATAATTATTCAAAGCTAGCAGAGATCAAGAAAGGAAAATGAAATATTTTTAAGTCTCACAGAAAAACATACGTGCATACGGGGTTCTAAACTTGTAGATAGAAAGGATAGAAACCCTTAAAAAGCTTGTTAATCCAACATATACTAAATTTCCCAACTACATTAAATTTAATACTTTCAACGAAAAGCATATTTTACATGAAATGAGTATTCCTAACTTTAATGTGTACCTTTTCTAGATTTAAAATAGTGACATTGTGTGAGCTAAATGAAATCATTCATTCTTTGGATAATAGTTGTAGTACATTATGAAACTCTTAACTATTGAAAAATACCTCTAAAAGAATAGGCCATGCCATTTTACGCTTTGTTAAGTTTGTACTTAACTACAGACCGGTAAATTTCCTGATGCATTAAAGGTCAGTACTATAGTTCCCACTTCTAAGATAACAAATACTATCAAAGCTAGTGAACTCCGTCCTATTAATACTTTATTCTGCATGGAAAAGGAAATTGAGTTGAGTGTATATCATCAAATCTTAAGAGTACATTACCAGAAATCACATTTTATTTAGCAATCATTCGGGTTTTCGTACAAATCATTAATGTGAGACAGCATTGCAATTAACCAACCATATACAGCTTTAAGGCAGAGGTTGACCGAGATAAATATGTAGTAGCAGTATTCCTTGGCTTGAAGAGAGCATTCGAAAGCATTGACAGAACTATCTTACTTACTAAATTAATTTAATGGACTATGGATTGGATGGTTTCGGGCACGCTTGGATATCAGACTATTTATATGAACGTAAACAAAGGGTCAGACTAAAAGATGTTATCTCAGATGAAATACAGTGTAATAGTTCAACCGGTGGGCAAAGTGGTCCCCTTTTTCGAACATGGAAAAAGTATGTTTGCTTTAGGCTAGGAGCAAACACATCGAATTTGGACGGTCGATAAAAGTTCGATCGAACAAATTCCTTTGGTATCGCGAAGAAACAAATGTGAGCACACACATCGATCGCCAAACGGCACGGCATCGATGTCGTGTGATTGTGTTGTTCATTGTGATTTTGTGTACTCCACCTAACAAACCTTTGTGGATTAAAAAACGTAATCGAATAAATATCGTGTAGTGTGCGTGCAAAGCATCATCCACAAAACTTCGATCAAACTTTTATCGACCGTCCAAATTCGACATGTATGCCTTAGGTGCAATCTCGTAACATCGACCTTGTGTCATCACCTTAATAAATATAACCATGATTGTCATTTAATTTATAGTAACATCGACCTTGTGTCATCACCTACTTCGGATTGCCTCTTCTAATTCAACCAACCTACGTATTATAAAATAAAGTGGAATTACACCTAGTTATCACAACCTGTATTAGTTTTTTAGGAATATTAGCACCAGCATTTTCTTGAAAACTATTTACTTTTGAGGTGGCTTTTGAACTTTTCTAAAAGTGTGATACTATAGTTTTTTCTTGTTCTATTGTATGGGACAATAAAGGATACTAATCGCATCTCGAACTATAAGATTAAGCGTATCCAAAATAGAACATCCCAAATATTTCAATCGTAACTGATTTTTTAATGAATTTTTAATATTGTACGTACTGTCCGATACCGCCAAAATAATTTTCTGTTAAAGTCCTCACTTTTGAGTTATCTGCTTTTGGTTTCTGTGATAAATTTGTACTTTTGTGCGTCTTTTCAAAATCAACACACTCCACAAACATTGTGATTTAAAATTGTTGTCAATGAAGTATACTGTAACAACCATAAAACTTTTGTTCATAGATGATCAACAATCTATTGTTAACGAAACGGCCAACATCTTCTGCAATATGGAATAATTGTTCTGCATTTGGTATCTGAGTCCATTCGCGAATGTTTGTTAACTAAGAAACTTGTTTTCTTCCTACACCTCTACAGCCCTCTATTTTGCCTATAAAGATCAGTTGTAAAATTTTATATCGACTTCCGCTTACTGTATGTCCCAGATGAGACATTTTCCGATGTTTAACAGTCTTTAGCAGTTCTTTGTCTTTGTTGACGCTCCTTAGTACTTCTTCATTAGTTTTTCTTGCTGTCCAAGGTATCTTCAGCATTCGTCTATGAACCCACATTTCCAATGCTTCAATTTTGTTCATGATCGATACTTTTAGCGTCCACACTTCTGCATTATACAAAACTAGAGATCAAACATAACACTTAACCATTCTTTGTCTTAGTTCTAAACTGAGGTGGATATTGCAAAGAAATGACTTTATTTTCATAAAAGTAGTTTTACGTCATTACTATTCTACGTTTTATTTCTATGTCTGGATCTAGTTCGTCCGTTATCACAGTTCCCAAATATGTCATTTTGTGAACTTTCTCAACTTGGACTCCGTTCAATTGAAGCTTTGCATCGGGATGTGGGTCACAACTTAACACTCAAAATTTGGTTTTGTTTGAGTTAATTTTATTGCTCATTTCCTCTCCTACCTCGTGAATAAGATCAAGCAGAATTTGAAGACCTTCAATATTATCTGATAGAATTACTGTATCTGTCCTGTACTCTACATATCCAATCACATTAAGTAGTTCCCCTTTGATTTTTATTCCATATGGTTGTCTCTCAAGTGCCTTTTTAAATAGCTGGTCCGAGTAAACATTGAATAATGTTGGCGACAAAATGCAACCTTGGTAGTGGTAGTGGTAGTTATCTCCAATTTTTACGATAGCAGTTTGATTCCAATACAAATTTTTAATGACACGAAATCCTTGTCATCTATTCCAATATTTTTCAGTATTTGCATTAATTTTACATGCTGTACTTTATCGAATGCCTTTTCGAAGTCCACGAAACATGCAAATACATATTTTCTTTGGTCACGGCATTTTTGTAATAGGATGTTAAGCGCAAAAAGTGCCTCCCTGGTTTCCATAGCATTTCTAAAACCAAATTGGGTATCTTCAAGATGTTCTTCGCATTTGCGTCTAATTCTGTTGTGAAGTATTCTAAGGAAAATTTTAAGAGTGTGGCTCATTAGGCTAATTAATCGATATTCTGAGCGTTTTCTCGCATTGTGTTTTTTAGGTATTGCGAAAAAGATGGATTTGAGCCAATCTGCGGGAATCACTCCGATGTTATACATATATTGAATTAAAAAGTCTTACTTTTATGTTATCATTCTCTATTAGTTTCAGCAACTCAGTTGGTGTATCATCTGGACCGCAAGGTTTTCTAATTTTAGCATTATTTATAGAATGTTCTACTTTGCATTTCATAATTTTTGGGACCCAGTACAGTTTTGGTAGAATTCGGCAACATTATTCCTGTCATCTTCAAACAACTCTGAAATATACAGCTGTCATTCTTTTCTTATTTCTTGCTCATTTACAATAATTTTGTTATTAGTGTAAGTACAGAGGGAACTCGTTTTTTAAATATATTACTCATTTCTTTCAGTTTTTTGTGCACATTAAATAAGTCGTGTTTAGATATTACATCCTCCATTTCGTCGCACCTTTCTCTCATCCATTTTTCTTTGGTTAATTTGATCTCCTCTTTTATTCTTCTCTGCAGGTGTCTATATTCTGTTACATTAGATTTTATCAGTCGACGTTGTTCCATTAATTTCAAGATGTCGTCTGTCATCCAGTTATTTTTCTTGATTAAGTTTTTTCTATAATCATTGTTTGTGGAGATTTCGTTAACTTGGTTTTTAAATTCACTCCATAGTTCTTCTGGATCTTCTAGTTGTTCTCCGATGTTTTTTATTCTATTGTTAAATTCTTTTTTAATGTTATGTTTTATGTTTATATCGTCAAAGTTAAGTACATTGGTTTTTGGTTTTTGTCGCTGAATTCGTTTTAACCTTAGTTTAATATCTGCTACGAGTGGTTAATGATCAGATCCAATATCTGCCCCAGGATATGTAGTGACTTTTTTGACGGCATTTCGGAAACGCTCATTGCTAAACGCAAGGAATTAGCTAAAGATATGCCAACATATCTTTAGCTAATTCCTTGCAATCCAATAGATACTGTTCGTTCATACTCAATATATGAGTTCTTGAAATGACTCACCTACTGGGAATTTCGTAAAATGTATTTAAAGCCTTTGTACAGCGCTGAAAGGCTCATAATCGATGTAAAAAAGTTTAAAAGCGTTGCATCAATTTGACTTTTTGACTTGGCATTTACTTTTTTTGGGGATAAAAGCAGATATTTTTATTGGTGATGTATAATTTGAGATCTTCGGAAAACAGGATGTAGAAGTAATGAATTCATAACAATCACACTCGTGGAAAAAGAAAAACAATTGTCTGATTTACCATTTTTAAAGAGGTAAATGTTTTTACCAATGATAGATTTTTATTTGATTAATCTAAAC